CGCCCGGCCCCGGGGATGGGCCGCCGCGCCCCGCGGGGCTCCACTCACCGGCAGCTCGGCCGGCCGCCCCAGCTAGGGCAGCCGCTAGCCTCCCGCTCTCAGGCGCTGGGCTCCCCAGGCGGCCGTAGCCGCCGCCACCGCGCAAGGCTCCTCCTCCCGGTCTTCCTCCGCCTGCTTCAGCGGCGCTCGGTTCCTCCTTCTTCCCTCCCTCTCTCCACCCTCTCGCCGCCGCCGCTGCCTCCCTCCTCACTAGTACAGCTCGGCCTCTCGCCCCCGCCCCCTCCTTCGGGCAACCACTACCCCGCCTCGCCTTTTCCCTTCCTGGCCTCCCTTCTCTGCCCCTACCGCTCCCACCATTCACACCTCCCACCCGCAAGTCAGCGCTCCCTCCTTCTCCCTCCTCCTTGCTCAATCTCCGCCTCCTTCCTCCTCCTCCCTTGCCTGTCTCGTATTCTGCACTCTCGGAGCCTGCACGCTTGCACCCTCCTTCACCACCGTGTACAGCCTCCTCAGTGAAGGCTTTTGCCTTGACTCCGCCTCCTATGGTCCGATTCTCCAGCGCACTTTTTTGTATCCCGCGCACTTAAGCCGACCCTACCTAAGTTCTTGTGGACTGAGTAAACCTGTCTACTGATAGCAGCTGGGCGAGCTTTCTTTGAGGTGTTTACTGGATATGGCCTTCTCCTGTTCGCGCTTCCTCCTTTCTGCCGTTAAACAGTAGACTCTTCTCTCACCTGGCTAGCCACAGCCCCACTTCAGTGCCTAGGACAGGACTGGCAGCCCTTTCCCTCGCTCTTCCCCTTCTTGCTCTAGCTGTATTTTTCTCCCTTCTCCTCAGGCCACACAGCCCACCCCTGCCACTCTCTCGCCTTCCCTTCCTTCTCCCCTCTCTCCTGCCACGCCTTCAGTCACAGCCCAGCAGGGGGAAACGAAGCTTCCCCTGACCTCTTTCCCTCCTCCCTCCCTGTAAGGGAGCAGCTGCTTCCAGGCCTGCTCGTGGCTGAGAGCCCTGTCACTGAAAGGCCAGCTAGGACTGTGTGTCAGAGCCCAAGAATTGGACAAGGGCGGCTGATTGAAACATGGTCTCCTCTTCCCTGCTGCTTTCTACCCATAGACTGTTTTGGGGACAAGGAAACAGGGCAAGGACCTTCTCAGAATCTACCTCATGTTGATTTAATATTTATTGAAGACTCACAATGAGTTAGGAAGGCTATCCAGAAAAACACAGTTAGGCACCTTGCCTAGGAAACACTTCCGGGTGCTAGCTGCAAGCCAGGCTCAAAACATAAAATACAATCTACTGTTTTATCAAGTCATTGTCCTCCCATCCTTTCCAAGTCTGGTTTCCTTGACAAATATAGCCTCAGAGACAAGTAGCCTTGTCTAATTTGAAGCTTTATACAGCATCTACCAGGGGCCTGACTTTCTTCAAGTGCTAATTAATAAAGAACAACAACAAGCAATAATTGATTCAGAGGCTCACTCATTCCTTCTCCTTTCCCTGATATATTAAATCTGCAACAGCATAACCAAAGAACAATAGCAACAAAGCTGTGGCACTCCTGGCAAAGGCATGCAGCATCTGGAGACCTCAAGTTCCTGTCTTCAAGGAAGTAAGAATAAGGTTGTAGCACTTGGTGGATGGCTTCACTAATCCTTTCAATTTCCGTGCTGAACTTGAGTTGGGAATTTGACCTAGCCCTGTCCTCTGTTTGCAAAATAGCCGTCTTTAATGACTATAGCCAGGCCAGTTTTCTCACAGAGCCACAGATGTGGTTAAGAGCTCAGCTGCTAACCAAAAGGTTGGCAGTTCGAATCCACCAGTCTCTCCTTGGAAATCCTATGGGGCAGTTCAGCTCTGTCTTACAGGGTTGCTATGAGTTGGAATCGACTCAACAGAAATGGATTTGGTTTTGTTTTGGTATAGGTAGAATAGCAAAGTGTTTAGGACTTGAATTTGAATCCAGTTTATGCCACTTACTTGCTGTGTGACCTTGAGCAATTTACTCAACCTCTCTGTACCTCAAATGCTTCATATATAGATTGAAGGGTACTATTATCTAATCCTGGAGCCCTGGTGGCATAGAGATTAATTGCTCAGGCTACTAACCAAAAGGTCAATAGTTTGAATCCACCAACCGCTCCTTGGAGACCCTATGGGGTCGCTATGAGTCGGAATCAACTTGACAGCACCGAGTTTGGTTTATTATGCAATCCAGGAGCCCCTGGGTGGCACAAACAGTTAAGTATTGGACTACTTAGCGGAAAGGTTGGTGGTTTGAACCCGCCCAGAGATGCCTCAGAAGACAGGTTTAGCAATCTGCTTCTGAAAGTTCACAGCCTTGAAAACCCTATGGAATGCAGTTCTACTCTACACATATAGGGTCGCCATAAGTCGGAGCCAGCGCAACAGCAACTAACAACAATTACCTAATCCATACAGTTATTATGCGGGTTAAATGAGTTAAATTTTGGAGAACACTTACTATTTGGTGCATATAAAGTGCCCAATAAATGCTAGCTCTTATTGTTACCCATCTCTGTGCCTCTGCTCACATTATACACACTCAAATTCAGTGCCCTTCCCCAAATCTGCATACACAATCTTACCTATCCTTCAAAGCCCACGTAAAAATCCCACTCATCCCAACCCTTTCAGCTCCCAAAGTGCTCTCCCTCCTCCGAACTTCTACATCATTTATTGCCTGCACTACTCATTTTACTCTTAATCACATACTGCCTTCCATTGTTAATCCTGTCTCCCGCACCCGACTTTTTGAGAGCAGGGGATGGGTTTTAATCTTTTCTAAATCTCCCAGAGCATCTAGCAGAGTGGCAGACACATAGTAAACCCAAACCCATTGTTGTGGAGTCCATCCCGACCCATAGCATCCCTATAGGACAGAGTAGAACTGCCCTCATAGGTTTTCCAAGGCTGTGATCTTTATGGAAGCAGACTGCCACATCCTTCTCCTGCAAAGCACCTGGTGGGTTCAAACTGCCGACCTTTCGGTTAGCAGCTGAACGCTTTAACCACTGTACCACCAGGGCTACTTAGACACATAGTAGGCACTAGATAAACACTAGATTGTTGTCCCCATAGGTAAAAGGCAAGCAATAATAGAGCTGAAATGGTGTGTCAAGTTTAAGAAACTGAAAAAACTTCAGAAAAATGTCCTGATCATTTCCTTGCTGGGACACAGGCCAGAGCCTTCTTGTCTCCAAACAGTAACAACAGCAAATGAATTTTGCTTTTTAAGTAGAGCCTTGCAGCGCACAGTAAAAGGAAACCTGAGATCTAGGCTCAATTCAGTGAGACCTTCAGTAAAATCGTTTCTCCTTGCTTCAGTGTATTCCAAGGCAAAATGAGGGGATTGTGCTAGAATGTTCTGTAAGATACCTACCAGCTCTAATAGTCTATGATTCTGTGAAGTCAGCCTTCCTGACTTTTCATCACAGTCATGTCTGAGTCTTAAAGCAGAAAGTGGATCTATCTAGCTGGCTTGGTGATGTGAGTCACTCTCTGCCTGTTGAGACATTGCCCTAAATTCCTTCCTCCAAAGTGCTTTCCTAGCTATTAGCTCAGCTGACCTCCTGTGTAGTGCGAAGGGTCAGAAATATCATCTCTGTTGTACCACAGAGAAACTGATGCTTAGAAAGGTGAAGTGATTTGCCTAAGATCATGCAAGTTAGTGGCAGAGGGAAGACTAGAATTTGGGGTTCTAACTCCTGGTCCAGTGCTCTTTTAACAGTATGGGCCAGAGCAAGCTCTTTCTCTTTGACCAGGGCATCTGACCTATTCTCCTCCTGCCTTTATTCTTTGAATCCACTCCTGTCCCTCCACCCACAATCAAACCTGAAAATCAAATGTGTGCATGATCGCCCACAAGCAAAAAACAATGCACAGCCCTGCTATTACAGGAAGTGTTGCCAGTAAAAATAAACCGCATGTGTACGGAGGAGAAGGAACAGAGAAGACTTTGTCCTGATCTGTCTGCTTATTGCTTCTTTTTTGTTTTTTGTCCCTCATTCATTCAACACCGGCATTCCGTCCACAAACATTTACTGAGCCTCTATTATGTGCATAAGGAGCCCTGGTGGTGCAGTGGTTAAGTGCTCCGCTGCTAACTGAAAGGTCAAGATTTGAACCCCCCAGCCATTCTGCAGGAGAAAAATGTGGCAGTCTGCTCCCGTAAAAGTCATAGCCTTGGAAACCCTATGAGGCTGTTCTGCTCTATCCTATAGGGTTGCTATGAGTTGGAATTGACTTGATGGCAGCAGATTTGTTTTTTTATTATGTGCATAGGAATGTGCTAGACTTGTAGGCAATCTCTGCCGTCAAAGAGCCTAAAATCCAGCAGGGCAGAGCAGACTCACAGACATGGAATGTTAAAGAACAATACTTGAGGGAGGTATAAATACTAGCCACGAAGGTAGGAATCACTGCAACAGAGCAAATCCTGCATGTATTAAGTGACCTGTATAGATAAGGAGTGCAAGAAGAATTCGGGAGTAGTTCAACACCAGGTAAAACTAATCCATGGTGAGAAAGATCAGCATGGTCATTACCCTTGTGGGGCTACTGACCAGGAGGGAACAGGAGAGAGCCTGCAGGGGTGCTGGCAGTGCTCTAAGTCTTGATCTGGGTGGTGGTTGCATGGGTGTATCCATATGTAAACATTCAGAGAACCGCACACTTTAGAT